TTTTTTCTTTTTTGTTATCATATTGTATTTTGTGTATACATTTACCAAATGTTATACTGGGCACCTTATAATAAATATAAATAAATGTTATAGCGTGCCCGTGAAATTAATAAATTAAATTAAATTAAATTAAATTAAATATAGTAGTTTAACATTCAGTATAGATAGAAAAACCATTATTATAAATCTACTTACCAAAACTTCCTTACCTCTCCCAATTTACAATCCTCCTCCAAAACCATTTAAACCTTGAAGAATCGGCCCACACTGTGCACTACTGCAATCTGAGAATTTACGTTGCGCAATGACACGGGCGCGAACCAGGTGTACGAGTTATAGTTTCGCGAGCAGGGTCGAAAGCACGAACGGTATGCCTCGCCCGAAGGAATCGAGAAAAAGACGATGTAAGAGGAAAATAAAGGAGCGCTTAGCTCGCGGCGTTCGGAGAAGGGCGCGCAGAAGGTCCTCCTCGGTGAAATTAGCATTTCCATTCGCGGGTGCACGATGGCGGCCGTGGTCCTGCCCCGAGGGTAGCGTTAAACGAGCGTACAACGGCAGTCGTCCCGAAGACGAGCAGTCTTGCAATATACACCCGGGAACTGGTCATCGCCGCTGCGAACACGCTCCTCGCTGGCTGGTTTCCTCCTTTGGGTGTCTGCGGTCCAACAACCTGATGAACAGCCTCCCGGTGCTGTTTATTACCGATACATTTCATCCTTTACACGGCAAGTTATTGTGATTCCTTCGTTAGTATCGGTCGAATCGTATTTCAGTTTTCTTCACTCCTTCAATGAAAATACGTTCCTCCTCATCATTTTTGCGAAACACTTTACAAGTTCCTAAGTTTATTTCGCATACTCTTCCTTGCGGAGCTAATCACGTCTCAGTGTAAAGTAAAAGTCTTGTTCCTTTCTTGAAGAAAATCTGAAATTTCTCAACGTATTGCAACTGCCAAAGAAAAAGTACTGGGAGCACTTTTGCGTAGGGTGCGTTAGTTCTCGCGACGGTCGGAACCGCAGAAATTTGTCAACAGCGTGCGACACGTTCGATCGTGGAGCCGCAGGGAGTTGCCCGGTAGAAATTACGGATCGGAAAGGGTTCTGGTTCTCCGAGCGCGAGAGTAAGACGAAGGGAGAGAAAGAGAGAGGGAGAGAATGCCGCCTCGTGCGATATCTTTGTATCTGCTCGGAGCGGTGTGGGACCCCCGTTTCGCTAATGACGGTCCACACCAATAACCAATAAATACTGGCCCGGTAAAACCGGGCTACCGGACTACGTGCTTATCTCGGAGTAACATCGGCTGCAAGGATTTTCTGTGGCCATGCGAGAGGTCCTCAGCTATTAAAACTGGGCCCCACCTCTATCGGCTGTTTCTCCGTACACCAGCTTTAAAGGCGCGACCATCCTCCTTTCGAATTATTCTTTTTTCATCCTCCCTGTATCAAAACAACAGATTCGGCTAAAGATATCTTTGATTAAAACTGAACAATTTCTCTTCCATTCCAAAGTTCGGCTTCAGGACTTGCTAGAAGGTTCCAGTTGTGAAAGAACTGGTCAAAATATTAAACGTGTTGCCTATAATATAATGAATAGTGTTCATTTATGTACATGAACAATACTGCGTTTTTCGTTGGTCCCAGTCATGCACCCAAAGTTCCGACGACCTTTCCACCTTCATTTTCAATCGGGTATCCCTTCCGACTTCCTCCACATACAAGCCGCATTTTGCTGCATGTCCTTCTCTCGCGTTTTACGCCAATGAAGAGTCTCCCATTAGGAGAATTACGCAAACGCAAGTACCTGTTGATTCTAAGAAATTATCCGAGATATTCCCGGCATCCAAGAGCTGCTTCTTGAACTCCAAGATAAATTGAATTGTGTTAATACGCTGGTTAAAACCTGTTTACCTTCATAAAGTTTCTCCAAAAAAGAACTGCCTATAGAAATATCTTTACCGGATTGCATCATCGACGTCTCCTTCAAAATCTTTCATCCCAGCCTCCTTCTCGAGGAATTAATAACAAGTTAGACGATTGGAACTCGAACGGGCATCAGAATTTCATTGAAAAACTGACCAGATAGAAACAGGAAAAAATAGCGATTGTGCCAATCGAATTCCTGCCGGATCGACAAAGACTTATCGCGATCTAATAATCAGAGTGAGCCACACCTGCTCGCTTGGCGAGCTTCAATGCCGTCCAGGTATAGCTCCTACAAACAATCTTTCGTCATCCCAGCTACTCTTCCTTCTTCGTCTTCAACTTACAGTCTTCAAAGCTCGCTAAATAAATGGAAAATGTTTAATGCTTATATAGACTGCATCGATTAAAACTTTAAATTCGTTATAGTGCGTACTGTGTACGTACGGTATACAAATTCTCGGCGCGTTTCGACTCTCAATTTTAGCGGCGACTGTACCCGCGGGCCACGTCGCGTCTGCGGTGAAGAAGGAATGACGAGGAAAGAGGGAAGGGTGCTGGAAGGACGAAAAAAAGTCGACGAGAGCGGACGTGGAACAGAAGTGGTAAGATGGAGAGGCCGAAGGTGGATTAATATTTATGGTTGGTAAAATATGCGGATGGAGCCGACGGTATAATTTGCTACGATTTCACCGGAGGGTCTAGGTCTAGACACAACCGAGGAACCCTTCTCGGTTTAATTTTCGGCTACCGAATCTGGAGCGGGCTTCTTCGTTATTGGTACTTGTCTCCCATCGGTCCGTCCCTTCGTCCTTCATCCACGCTCATCTTCGTCCTCAACCTCCTTCTCTTCCCGTTCCTTGATCCCTCCTCTTCTTCTCTGGTCTATGATAATAATTTATTATAACGAAATAAATACCTTAGAAT